GTACTCATAATCGAACATAAATGAATGCGCGGCTACGATGAGGCAAATTGAAGTTACATAGACAATATGTGAACTCTTTGCATCTCGTTGTGACTAGCCAATTATCGAATCGAGTCTCTTGTGATGAACGTTGCACACTAGCGAAGTGTGGAGTCTTATTTGACTTTGGTGTCAATGCCTTGTGTGATGAGCTTATCGTGAACCATGCATGATGATACCTAGAATTTGCCCCGTTGGTCCGGTTGACTAAGTGATGCAATTTCTTGAGATGATCTTAGGCAACTTTAAAGAGTGTGAACCAATTTGAAATTATACCTCTTTTGTAGCTTACCTTGTGAGTGTGTGAACCTCTTTTGAGCACCCTTTGAGCCTAAACCTTTTCTTGGAAGAAACTTGATACCTTTGCTACCTTTTATTTACCCATTACCCATTGTCCTCATGATTTGTGGTCTGTTTGAATAGCCAACTTAGGCCAAAAGCCTAAGTTGGGGGTGTGGTGAAAAGAGAAGGCAAATCAAGTAAATTCAAAGAAGTCCCTTATGCCCATGTTTTGAGAAAAATGGAATCCCTCCATATAAAAAAAAAGATTGAAAAAGAAAAAGAAAGAAAAAGTTGTGAAATAAATTCCACAAAGAAAATGGGGTTCCCAATGACTCATGGAAGATGAATAAGAGGTGACTTTTGAGCTTAAATGAAATTGATAAAGAGAAGGAAAGAAGGTGTTGTTCACATCACATTTCATGAGGATTTTCAGCCTATAAGCCTAAATGACCATACCATTACATTCAACCCCATTACAAGCCTTGGAAAAGACCTTTTTGATCTTGAATGAGTTAAAGCAAAAGTCGATTGGAAAATAAGGGCAAACCTATGGGTGAAATCACGCATTGTGTTTGTCTTTGTGAGTGTGAGTGTGAGTGTTGATCTTGATTCTGGAACTTTAAATTGTTGAACTATTGTGTGTGAACATGGAATCATTATTTGTGTGAGGGCATTTGATTTCCTTTGTTGAGCTTGATCTTGCATTTGAAGCAAGTAAAGTGAGATTGAGATTCTTTGATAATGGTGAGTCACAACTTGAAACTTTGAGTGCACAAGTGATCCTTGCATGAGTAAGTTGAGACTTTTTGTGTGCATTCACGGTTGAGTCTTGTGTAGTACTATTTGAGACATTCTTTTTGAACTGCTGAACTTGAGTTTTACTTGAGGACAAACAAAAATTTAAGTTGGGGGTGTTGATGAGTCCACGATTTGGACTCATCTAGGGCTTTATTTTAATGGATTTAGTGCCCTCAAATGCATATTTTGTCTCAATAACTGATATAAACACTTGAATTTCAGATATTTGAACTTAGGGACAAATCATGGACACTATGGAGCAAAAAGGAACAAGGCAGCCGAAGGATAAAGAAAAGAAGGCATGAGGATCGCCTAATACATTAGGCGAGTCGCCGAATGGCCTTAACCTCGCCCAAAGTTCCAGTGTGCTAAGTCTTGAAGGAAAAGATCAAGTTGGCGATAAAAGGGAGCAGTCGACACGTCGTCAAACAGTTCTGCGAAGCAACACCATATCGCCCAATGATTCAAAACGCGAAGATGTTGAAGGCAAAAGCTGAAGATGAACCAGATCAAAGGGTGGATCGCCGAGTGCATCGGTGATCCCGACTAACTGCACCGAGTGGTCCTTCTCAACACAAATTTTTGAAAACTGTAAATACCCATTTAAATATGTAGCTTAGTATCAAGTTGTACCGAATTATTATTGATTTTTAGAATATTTTTAGTTTTAGTTCTTAGTGTTTTTGGGAGACATTGTTCTTGAGCTTGGAGGTTTTGAAAGTTTTCAACTCCAAGAAATTAGAAGTGTGTCTTGAAGAATCTTCATCCTTGACGTGTTTAAAGACATTATTTATCGTACTCATTTGATGAAAACACTTTTTGGTATCGATTTCTATCTGTTTTTCTTGTCTAGCTAAAACCCCAATTCTTGGGGTGTGATTTTGTGAATATGGGTTAAATTTACTGTTGGGTATTGCTCATTGATAGTCTATTTGTTGTTTAAATGTGATTTCGTTTAGTAGTTGTGTTTGAACTTAATGGAATTGTAGTTGCAAATACGATTTCATCTTCGTGTTTTTGGCTTGCTCGAGAGAGGTTTTAAAACCAAGACTACTAAATTGATAGCCTGTGGTTATTGGGTCGTCGTGGGTTCATCTCGAGAGAGTGAATCCTAGACCTTCTCCCACACATTCAGCTCGAGAGAGTGAATGGTCTAAGGCGAAGGTTGTGCTTAATTGCTACAACTCGATGTTCGAGAGAAATCGAGTTGATTCGGGGGTAAGTTGTTCGAGACAAAATTTACCCCCACTAAAGTCTAGCTTAGTTACAAATATTCAACGATTTACTATCAATAGCATTTACCCAATTGTTTATTTTATCCCATATTCCTATCACATCCCAAGAATCCCGTTTTCCTATTTTGCATCTTTATATTTTTGTTGTTTTTGTTTCTTAGTTGAATACAAACCCCTCATTGATAATTGACATTCGTGTCACCTTTAGATTTAGTATGTTTTTATTCGTTAATATTTATAGCCATTATTGATTAGAACTGAATTTTACTTTTCTATTTTATTCTCAACTACTAACCGCTCCCTTATGACTCGACCCCAACCCATTCGGTTGGGTTATATTACTACACGCGATCGTTGACACTTGAATTGAAAGTTGTGTCTTTGATTACGTCAAACATCATGGACTGATAGGAAACTTAATTTAAGGCACCTACATGTTTGGGATTGCCCGACATTAGTTGGAGTTTATAACCCACAAAAAAAGAAATCAGATTCAAGAACAATCAATGATTTCTTTATTGGTTATCCAGAAAAATCAAAGGGTAATAAATACACATGAAAAGGTTCAATGTGTGTGTTTCTATAGTTAACTCAAATGCTTTTCTCACTGCTAAAAATGTTGATCTCAATGGTAAGCACATCATCTTTTTGTTAGAATCGAAAATAATTAGGTGTCATGTATAAATTAGCATAACAAACTTCGAAAGACCGTGAATAAGAAGACAAACAAGAAATATACCAAAAGACACAAAGATTTAACATGGTTCCGTCAATCGACCTAGATCCACAAAGGAGATGAGCAATTCACAATATAAACATGCGAGAACAAAATATAGAAAAAAACAACATCATCCAATTCACTCGGATTACAAAGAGGTTCACACAAGTGATATGTCCCACAAATTCTTCCCCTAGACAAAACTCTCAAAGCCCTAGGACTATCTTATGAATGTTACTATGTTAGAAATAACATGTTTCTATTTATAGAGAACTAAACATTTTCCTACAAGAAAAGGACTAGCCAAATATGAAGACTTTATGTTTTCCTTTTAGGAAAAGAAAATCTATTTATGGTAAGAAATTCAAGACAAATACCCAATACTTTTCTCAGATATTCTAACTTTTTTCTATTTCGAGATTGTATTTAAACTTTCTTTTCACAATTTTTGAATAGTTCGAATGATCACAAATGTCAGTCGAAATGGAGATTGCTCGAATACTATTATTTCAGCCGGGTATATGTTGTTAAGTCTGATACTCAAATTACTACTAAAAGGAAAATGTTATTAAAATAAGAGACTTCTTTTAAAAAAAAAATTACAGTTAGATAATTATTGTTTGAAAATGAAACATGTTCATTGTCCACATACCTTTTTAGAGTTCTCGTACAAATATTATGGAGATTCCATATTATATATATTTTTTTTATTTTTTTATTTTTTTTAAAAAAATAAAAATAAAAATTAAAGGATGGACCAAGATCCATTTTATTAGAATAAAGAGCTGTACAAAATAAGCTTGAGGTGAAAATTCAAGCCCAATAAGGAAACAATAACAAAGAAAAAACAGGAACAAAAATATATATACTCAATTTGACTCACTTTAATTATGTCTTTATTTTATGTGCCTGTTTTATTAATTTAACAACGGAGATTATATAAGTTCTTTTATGTTAAATGAAAAAATGAAAATAATTCTAGTTTATTGTTTAGGACCACAAAATACCAGATTTTCATATTTGACTCAATACTCAATAGTGTGTCAAATTTTGTTAGATTTTGCATAGTATATATAGTGAAAAAAAAGTATCACTATTTTATTACTTGAACACTAAACTGTAGGTTTTAGGATAACGCAATATGTGGGGGGGGGGGGGGGGGGAGTATCACTATTAAAAGGCCGGTTTAATGTAGCTCCATTATTATTTTGAAAATATAAGTAGACATTCAAATTGTTTATGATAGTAGGCGTGCATCGGTTCGGTTTATTGATTTTCAATTTTTAAATACATAAAATCAATAAGATATTCTTTATCAATTTTCGGTTTATCGATTTTTGGTCATTAATGGTTCGGTTTTCAGTTTACTCAATAAGAAAATGCACATAAACAAAAATTATGACTTTTCACTTCTTTAACAATTTGACGCAATACAGTGAAACAAACAAACAATTATAAATACATTGATATAGTGAAACAAGAAGTATAATGAGATGTAGTACGAAAGCTACAATTACATGTTACAATTAAAACATACTATTAAAATTTTGATGTGAAGTTAAAATACCCTAAACTGTGAAGTGTGTACATTGTAGTGTAAAGTACTGATTAGTGTCTAGTTATGCTTATTATTAATATTTAATATATTATGAAGAGTAAAGTAGTAAATTACTATCATCTAAATGAGTTATCGATTTATCTAATAACTCAATACTAAAACCAACGACAAATAGATAACCCAATAATATTTTTTTTAAAACCAATAAAAATCCGTTAATCCAATAACATTTTTTTTTTATTTGATTTTCGCACAACGCTTTTTTATACACATGCCACTAAGTTCTAACCCATTTTAGATTAGTACTATTTTTTTTGTTAATATATACATGCACATTCGTAGTACAGAACACTTCTTTGGAGAGAAAGGAAGAACAAGTATGGGTAAAGGGAAACAGAAAATCGAAATAAAGAAAATCACAAAAGAATCTGCAAGAATGGTGGCATTTTCGAAGAGACGCAAAGGACTTTTCAAGAAAGCTGTGCAACTTGAATCCAAGACTGGTGCTAAAGTTGCCATTCTTGTTTTCTCTTCCTCAGGAAAACCCTACACTTGTGGGGACGTTGAAACGCTTTGTGAGTCGAATAGTATTTTGGATTCATTCAATCTTGAAACGCATTCTGAGTCGAATGGTATTTGGGATTCATTCAATCTTCAAACGCATTGCGAGTCGAATGGTATTTTGGATTCATTCAATCTTGAAACGCATTGTGAGTCGAATGGTATTTGGGATTCATTCAATCTTGAAAGGCCTTGTTCATCTTCTGGGCAGAATGGTATGTGGGATTCATTCAATCTTGAAAGGCCTTGTTCATCCTCTGGGCAGAATGGTATGTGGGATTCATTCAATCTTGAAAGGCCTTGTTCATCCTCTGGGCATAATGGTATGTGCGATTCATACAATCTTGAAAGGCATTGTTCATCCTCAGGAATCCCATCTGGGTCGAATGGTATTTGGGATTCATTCAATATTGAAAAAACGCATTGTTCATCCTCTGAGTCGAGTGGTATGTGTGATTCACTCAATGTTGAAGCATGTCATAACGTGAATGAACTCTTGCTGTTGAAGGCACACTTGGAAAGGACCAGAGAAAAGCTGCTGGAGTCTCAGTTTCTTGACTCTCTCTGGTCATGATCAAATTTTTTTATTTTTTTCTTTAATTACTTCCATGGCTGTGAATTATTAGTAGACTTTTTGTGAGAAATTTTTATAAAATATATTCAGTTGGTGCAGATTTTTCTTCTATTGTCGTGCAGCAAGAATTAAGGTAATTCCCTTTTTAGTCTTGCTAACATCCCTTTTTAAGTAAAAAAAAAAGAAGCAAAACAGGCAAAGCATTCATCTAAGATTGATTTAGCATGTAGAATTATTTGAAGTAGAATGATATAATTACACTGCACTCATTTGTATGGTTGTTCTCTCTACATCATACGGAATCAGACTGCTTCCTCCTTCTGTACAGGGTGAAAGTCACTAACTTGAAACTATGTTTTTGCTACACTTATTCTGTACCTGTAATATACCACTACAGGGGGATCCATCCCTGCCATTTTTAACAATAGAAGTCAAAGCAATGAGTTAGTACCGTTATGTTTGGAAAAAAAACAAATAAAGATTGCGCCCTTCTTCATCAAAGAGCTTTGAAGGGAGGTTACCAAAAAGGTAGTGGAAGTTTTGACACTCAATATAGGAAGGTGTGCATTACATGATAAACATGTTTGTTTTGCAATGTGGACTGTCAAAAGTTCCATTTGCCTTATAATAATTCTTCGTTTTTTTCGTAGAAGTTGAATAGACAAACCTTAATCATTCCTGTCTCTGTACCACATATAATTATGTCATTTGCAGTTAGAAGACTTGTTATCTTGCTTCCTGCTGATAATCTTCCAACTTTGTGCTGTGTTCCTCTCAGCCAAATCTGGTTGCATCATGTATTCGTCGGTTAGTATGCAGCAGGTTGCTTAGAGATGAAGCGTTACTTAACATGATATTTTGTGTAAGTGAGTTGAGTAATGAGCATTTATTTAGTACTCATTATTGAATCATTTACTGCCCCAAGGTAATTTTTATCAAGTAGATAGAGCTTCATTTTTTCCGTTGGGAACATGGTTTTCTAGAATTATCAAACTTAAATCTTAGTTTCTATGTAAGATATGCCAGTACCTGGATGTTGCTCATCGACGCACTGAAAATTAAATATATGAAGTCCTCCACTACTTCCATTGCCAACACATTGCCTCCCTTTTCTGGCGACATTGATATTTGTGGTTTCTTGTTTTTTCTCCAGTCCTGCATCAGTGGGGGTGTCAATGAAAAGGTACTTGCTCCACATCAACAAGTTGGATTTGTTACCTTTATATGTGAAGCTTCAATTGTTGAACTTGCACTGTATAACCAGTCCTTATATACAACTAATGAGTTCACAGCCTTGTTTTTCATACTCCAACTCTTTGATGGTGCTTTGATCTCTTGCTGCCTGCTGTTTGGAATAGCTAACTCCTGTATTTAGTAATTAATTATATATCTGTAACTCAATTGCTGAATGAGTTGTATTACATGACTTTGAAACAAGATCTTTGATCTGACCTGTATGCTTGAGTCTGTGCAGCCTATATACAGCTTTCCATTTATCAATGTTCCACACCTTATGGATTTATTCTTGAAATATTTACTGGCCTTCCGTGATCCATCAAACACCTATAATAGAACACGTCTTGGTAATGTAATGTAGCATCTTAAAAATTGTTTCTAAACTTGACTTAGGCTCTTTTGTCTGAATGATATGATCATTTATATCTACCTTCATTTTGTGGCTCTGGGTAACTGCAAAAATTAGTTCTCCATGTGTGTTGATATTTTGAATTGGATCTTTCGTCAGTATAGTCTCTGTACATTCAAGCTTTCTTTCAAACATTTGCCAGATCTGTGGAAAAAGAAAAACTCATCCAATAAATGCATTTTTAGCATGGACTTCAATCACATTTAACATAAAATTTGATTGGTTACTGGTTACCTTTATTGTTTTGTCAGCAGAACCACTCAACAGGCAATTCCCTGATTCAGAAATTGAAAAGCATGTCACAGCCTTTTTATGCTCCCTCACGTCCCTAACAAGTGTTGCTTCTTGTCCTTTGATGTCCCATGCCTATGATGTAAAACCATCAGATATGTTACATTACAAATCTAACACAAATGAGCACTCTACAGACATATCTAGGCACAACTCATCATCCCAGAATACGACTTAACAAGAGGTCATTATATATCCTCTTTGTTAATGTGAACCTTAAACTTAGAGGCAAGAAGTATGAAGCACATAAAAGTAGCTAACCTTGATTGAACCATCTGTATGTCCACTGTAAAGCTCTCCATTATAGTAGGTGAGCGATGTTACTGCTCCACTATGGCTACTACTCATTTCGAGAATCTGTGTGTGAACACAGGATATTCTCTGCTTACCATTGTGAAGAAAAACTGAGTTAGAAATGAAGAATTGTATCATGATATATACTACTCCCTATGTCCCAAATTATGTAACACACTTTCCTTTTTGGATTGTCCCAGAAAAATGTCACATTTCTATATTTAGAAACAAATAACTTAAAAATTCTCACTTTACCCTTACTGAAATGATTTACAACCACATGAATGTCCAAGACTCGTTTTAGACCACAAGCTTCAAAAGTCTTCATTTCTATCTTAAACTTCGTGCCCAGTCAAATAGTGTCACATAAAATGGAAACGAGGGAGTAATTATTTCTCATGCATGTATCATGACAACACGACACCTCCATTTCTGGTGTTGACTCAGTGATCTACCAAACATATTTGTTAATGCCTCTCTGCCTTTTGAAGTTTTCTGTAATCTTTGTTCTACATTTTAGTGTTAAAGGACAAATTTCGGTTCCTATGCAGGAAAAGGCCCTAGTAGTCTCTTTGACACTATGGAATTTATTCCAACTTGTTAACTGATATAGTTGCCAACCTTGTTACAGTTCTTCCAAGGATGTGGCTAATTGATAAGAAGTTATAGTTTACTTGTTTGTGATGCAAGTTCTATACATTCACTTGTATTAGATGCGATGATCAGGTAGAGATGACTGGTACAAATGATTGCATTATGGTGCTGTTGACATCACATACAGGCTACAGCCACAATATATAAGAAAGAAAACTGATGTCTCCTTACCCATTTGTTTGGCTGGATATAGTCAGCAACCTTAAGTAATTCTTCTGCCATCCAACTCATGTTGGAAAGGCGTCTTAGTGACTCTCTAACTCCTTCTGAAAAGTTGACTAGCTTTTTCATCCCTGTAAGAGTTTCCCATTTCAGGCACATATTTGAAGTGAAAGCAAGTCAACTTATGCATTTGGTGATTAGTGCATATTTAGATATTTACCTCTTCCGGAAGTATAATAATAGATACAAAGACATCCTAATAGCCTTTCTTCAAGCTCCAGTCCTGGATGAACAAATTGCTCAATTCTACTAAGTAAAATCTCACAGGCTGCATATCTCAAATCATCAGGGGCTTTCGTGATTTCAGACCCCAGCCATGCAGTTGCAGCAAGATAATCTCGGGAGGTACTTCTCGATTCGCTCTTAAGTCCTTTCTCTAAAGCATGGAATAGAGGACTTCCAAACTTTAAGAAGCGTCTCGCTACTTTGCTACACCATGTCTCTATGCCAATGTCCTGTTAGTTCATGGAGTCTTTAGAACAACTAAACAACTCATGGGTGCAGTAATTCCACAAGTGGGGTCTGGGGAGGGTACAGTGTACGCAAATCTTACCCTTACCCCTACCAAGGGAGGTAGAGAGGTTGTTTCTAGCAGACCCTTGGCTCAAGGATTTGTAAAAAAAAATACACGGTAGCCAAGTTCAGTGTGGACCTTAGTGCCTCTAAGCAAATATAAACAGTATAAACTTCTTCATGAAGAAGAATAAATAAAGATTAAAATTATTATTTTCGCATGGTAATGAATGGTAGCTCTGGGTGCATAAATGCATAACCAGACAAAACAATTGAAATGGAGAGAATACTGGGTAATATTAGAGGACACCAAGCTAAATTGGATCTTGAAAGAAAAAATTACCTGTAGACATTTATCAGAAAAGTCAACGTTCTTTATCATGTTCTTGTGTGGCAATGAAGTCAAACCGGCCTTTTTAAGCAACCATGGTATTGTGTAGGGTTCTCCTGACCAAGAGAAGGTTCCACCAAGGTTGGATAGGATGAACGCTGATAGAGCCTGTGTTGCAGAATTCTCTTCACACGACACTGACTCGATTAGAGCTTCCATAGCCTCTTCAGAATATACAAATTTACCTGATGTTTCTTCCTGAAAATTTGACATCATCAAAGGTTCATGGTGACACTTTATGGTTTGTAAGTAAATGTAAAAGATATATGGATTGGTATAAACTTAGTTATATAGGGATGCAACCAGCTATAGGTAAATTGTGACTTTATGGTTGTAGAAAGAATAAAAGAAAATGAACATTTCCAGGTTTTCTGCTGTGTAGTGTTTCGTGGTAACTTTCTTAAGCTATAAAATGTAATTTGTTTTTTGTTTTTTTTTCTTGTGTATTTCGGTGTCCAATATCATGAAATCGTGATATCCCTATATGTTGGGAGATCCTAAGCTCAACATACGCTATTCTATTGCAGGTGTTTAGTTACGTACACCTGCTCGTTCTTTTATCCTCACACACATTTTTTTCCAGATGCTTTGAAAGACAACACTTCAATATGCTTACCAGCATGTCTAACTGAAGCAACAAATTTGCTGCCAAAATTTTGTACTCTGGTTGTGACTTTTGGATGAGAAGCAATAATGCACACATATTGTTGTTGCTTCCGTCTTGTTGTATTTTCTGCAGCACCTCAATGGCTGATGACCTGATGCGAAAGAGATTGAATATGTCCTGAAATCTTCTTGATCATATCTTTAAGGTATAAAGTAAGCAGTAACTTACTTCTGAGAAGTATGCTGTATAAGGAAGAAGATATTGTTTATGGTCACTTTGTTTAGTAAGGGTACATTTTTAGATGAGATAATAATTCGATTCGTTGGATTCTTTCATAAGATAATAAATATGGTGAATTAAAACCTCGGTAAAGGTGTCACTGATTTGATTCTAAGAACAAAAGCTTAGCTTACATATTACGTCGC